ACATCATAGACGGAATTGAATATTATGCCCATGAGACGAATGTCACTTAATGGACAACGGTTGTCTTTAAACTCATTAAAAAAATGAATTTTGTCCATGTATTTATTCACTCATAACCCAGTTTTTGTTTTATGTTTAATGGAATATGACATGATAAACGAAACACCAACCAGATCGAAATAGAACTGTTGAGTTGTAAATAGTTTCGACGTTAGTGGCGCTATATCGATTACCAGCCAATGGCATTGCGGCTGCTGATATAGGCCCTACGATCATCTTGCAATCGTTATTAAAATTTCATCAAGATAAAAATTTCGGTCACATTGAAGAAAAGGTCATTTTAAATTAATGCATTCCAGAAATTTTAATATAATTTAGGCCAATAATGAGCATCCAAAATTTCCGACGCGGGTCATTCCAAATCAGTAAAAAGGCTTCGGCCGGACAAAATGCCATCGACCAATCCAATCCAATCTTTTAAAACAGACCTTTTCCCACGATTATTTTGATTTTTAGTCCGATCGATCTTTATAAAACCATGGAGCTATGCTCCATGATAGAACCATCCATGATCACATCACCCTGCACACTGTGTCATCGAAGTCACTGACACTGGGATATATAAAATATTTAAATATAATTGGCACATCGTTACCATTAATTTATGTGCAAAGTGATTGACCTCGAGTTTGTCAGCTGTCAACCATTTAAATTACTGTCCAGACTATCAAATTTGCCATAGCCATGATGTGCCTATAGTCGTGATGTGATGTCATCATGACCATATTTAGGCATGTCACAAGTTTTTTTTGTTAAACAAAATTTGATAGTGTGAATAGGGCTTAAGAAAAGCAAAAACTTTCAACGTAAATCCAATATAGGCCTATTCATGTCGAGAGCATTATCACGAGAGATTTTTATTTTTTATTTTTATAAATATAACCAGCACTATAACAACTCCCTGATATAACAAATATTTAATAATCTAAGCGAGGTCTGCATCTGTTTTAAAGTAATTGATACTGGTGAGCTTTAATTGATTAATTAAAAAACATTATTACGAGAGCGATTTGGGTTTTTCGATAGATAAATAGACAGACCTATAACATTTTTTTTTTGTGATTTACGATAATGATTTAAGCGAGACCTTTTGAAGCAATTATTCTGGGGAGTATAATTTAATCGAATCATTAAAACGACATTAGACTGGTAGGCTAGAGATGTTATAAATCATGTGGAACTAATCTCATCTCAACAACCCCTCTCCACTGGCCAGGCAGACATTTTTCTCCTCCTATTGGAAATTTACACCACGTACCAAGCTGGGTTAAGCCTTGTAATGGACACACATCAGGGTTGTACGAATTATTAAAATGCATTCACGTATTGATGGTAAACTTCACAAACAACTCAGTTGGCTGAGTTCAATTGGTGATGATGCCCACAGTTTGGGGCCCTGCGCGTTCATTATGCTTTCGATCTTCATGCAATACTAACTTAATTTGTTTGAATTGTACGGAGGCACGTATAAAACACGTTTTAGACCACTGAACTTATGATATAGGCCTAGGCCTACACTAAAATTCCACGGTGCCATAATTAAACGATATTAAAATATACATTAAATTATTAAAAGGAGGGTAATCCGTGAGCACCCCAGGTTTGGCCGCCTGTTTTTCATTATCGGTATTGCATATCGGTATTGCAGGCCTATGTTTCATATAACAACTCCCTGATATCACCAAAAACAGGCAAACAACACACGGACTGTGAGTAGCGGCGGTTGCTTATGACTTGATTCTAACAACATGGAGGAAAAATTCTAACAAGGGGTCACAAAAAATTATGTATAGACTATTTCTATTTTGTATCGAGGGTATTATGGCTGATTGATGTCTCTTTCTACTACTCATGGTGTATTGTAGGCCTATCTCAAAAATCTTTAGGGCTTTCTTGTTATTTCATTTCATTCATTTATTTCATAATTATTCGACCAATCTTATTTTTATACCTCCTTGGACCAATACACATTTACAAAAGGTACAGTACAACACAAATTTTGGTCAGGGGCAGCTTAAGCAAAATTAACCAATGATCCTAATTAATTTCAAGCAAATATGTACAGCAGCCACAGCGAATAATTAAATAAGATAAGATAAGATAATTAAATTCACTCACAACACATCAGTTATCTCACAAATTCGAAAGACACTCGTTTTACGTGCGTTTAAAGCACACATAGGCCTAATAGGCCTATGCACTCAAATACTGTAGATTTTCCCCATAGGCTGGCCTCCAAGGGCAATACAATTTGTTTATTTAGCATCTCTTGGACGGAACGCGGCACGTCACAGAGCAGACGCGCTTTTCCATTGGTTAAAACAAGGCAATGGACCTTTCCGCTAAGCCCCGCCCATTGGATATTGTTGCTAAGGTCCCACAAGACGACAATGTTAAAACATACGCAAACACGTGCGTTTGTGGGACAACACGTGTGTTTGTGAGACGCGCGCGTATTCCTAGCGTTGTTCTGATTAGTCAGTTGTTAAGTTTGATTGACACTCCGGAAATGTCTATTCAACAGAAGGACGCCCATCTCGGGACATCAAAGGTTATAACCCTGCATCGACATTCTAGGCGCACGTGCGTCCCTGCACGCTGAACGTCACAAAAACCATAGCAACCAGAACACAAACCGTCAGCGTACGTGACGAATTACCCACGCGCGTGTTAGTTGCCATGATAATCGCGCGTCGTGCGGTGATTACAAAGGCATAATGATATTTTGCACTAACATTAGACTGAAATTATATTCTTCATTTCAACATTAATTTTACCAAAATTGTGGTGAATTGTCGTTCATGAGACTCACTTCGCAGAAAAATTAATAAATGTTCTGTATATACTCAAATGTTCGTTTTCGGCACCTTATGCCAACATTTTCAAAATGACAGATTAATGTTACATAAGAACATGAAATTTTATAAAATTCGTAAATTTTAAATTGCTATAGCTTTTCATTTTCTTGGTCAAATTTTCACAAATCAAATTGCAGCATTGAACAAGCTCGCGGAAAAAAAAATCAGATGTAATAGACATTGCGTACTTTGCGAAGTACCCAAAATTAATAAAATAAAAACTAACACCATAAAACGAATGGCACGCATAGACTAATAATTGACGGCTGTATTCGCAACTAGTATCGGATTGTCGATGCCACAGTAAAGATCAAAGGACTGTACGCACGCGCTATGTTAATGTTCGAGAGCGGAGATGTGCGTCCTTCTGTTGAATCATGGTTGAATTACCTTGGTTAAAATCCGGTACCGGATCTTTACACCCGAACGACAATGAATCCGATACCGGACCTCTAGCCACTGTGGCTAGAGGTCCGGTACCGGATTCGTTGTCGTTCGAGTGTAAAGAAGGTACCGGATAATAATAATAATAATAAAAATAATAATAATAATAATAATAATAATAATAATAATAATAATAATAATAATAATAATAATAATAATAATAATAATAATAATAATAATTTATTGACATACACCATTTATATCGGTGGCACTCAACAGGTGGTGCATCAAACATGGTAACTATACAAAGAAGTAATCTTAACAAAAGTAAAGAAAATATACAGTAAAGTAAAGGAAAATAAAAATAAAAAGAGACATAAGACACAACAACACAAAGTCAATTTAATCTTTAAGAATATCACACCTTTTTATCCATGCTCTTTTTGCTAAGGATTTGCAAAATTTGTCGATCAAGATATGGGTTCCTCTCTCTAGCAGCAACAATCTGGTTGCTTCGTACACACACTAACGTGACTGATTAGCGTCGAGCGAGCGATGTTTACGTACGAAGGATAGGCCTATTAAGTACAGCAGCCACAGCGAATGATTAAATAAGATAAGAAAAGACAATTAAGTTCACTCACGTCTCACAAATTCGAAAGACACTCGTTTTACATGCGTTTAAAGCACATACAGTAGGCCTATAGGCCTATGCATTCAAATACTGTAGATTTTCCCCATAGACTGGTCTCCAAAAGTGCAATGCAATTTCTTTATTTAGCATCTCTTTAGACGAAACGCGGCACGTCATACAGCAGACGCGCTTTCCTATTGGTCAAAATCCGCTACCGGATCTTTACACCCGAACGACAATGTATCCGGTACCGGACCTCTAGCCTCTGTGTTTACGTACGAAGGATAAACGATAACTTAATACGTCATCGTTATCAATCAAGCCGCTTGATACGCAATATTTTTTTCCGCTTGAAGCGGAAAAATATTGCGTATCGAAACCCTAGGCCTGCTTTGTAAATTTCTGGTGATAAAATTGTATGATATATGATATGATATAATTACAATGCATCTATTGTTTGTGGTCGTGGAACTTTACGTATCCAAATATACCGGTATCTATCTTATTTGAAAATTCATTAATGTTTGACATTTAATCTTAGCGTGACCAATATTGGTTGAAATTGGCGAAGGCACATTTGCGAAAAGCACTGTTTGAATGCAAATTTATAATCAAGTACAGAAATGTAGGTTTCTGAGGTTTTGCTCCTTTCGATCAGATAGTTCCGATGTCTTTAAAATTGTTTGCCCGATAGAATTGTATCATGGTATTTCATAATCCAGAAGGTAAGAATAAACTAAACATATTTTAGTCATTAAAAAAAACAAAAACAAATAAAAACAAAAACAAAAAAACATAGTCTCTAGCTATCGTTGACATCCAGGTAGTTGACGCAGTCTAACGGCCGTTTTAACCAATGTAGGAAAAAATTATAATAATAGCAGTAGCCCAATAATAGAAACAGGTAACTGGAATTTGAATAACAAAAGTTGCTATAGGCCTAGAATAAGGTACTATTAATAACAAGTTTTAAAAGCATGTCACCCTGTTGCTCCCTCAAACCAAAAAAACAGTACGCCTATTTAAATAATGTAATCGTAACAAAAGATTACAAACTGTAGAGGGCTCACTTCATGGTTTCAGAAGAAATTCAATAATCAACAAAACTTGACATTAGTCATCAAGCAACATGGCTGTGCGGAAGTGTTTGGCTTGTCTTTGTTACGTATTGTTGCTGGGTTTTGTCTTAAGTGGTAATTTATATAGACGTTTTAATAGAATTATTTCATAAATCATTAACTGTTTCATAAAAAATGCTTTAAGAAATCCTACAAAGCATATTTGTAGACACATCGCTAGCTAGGCCCAGGTCCCGGCAGGCTGGGATGAACTCTCATGGGTAGAACCAGAGAGCCTAGGCCCTAGTAGGGGGCCTAGAGAGCTAGTCTAGAGCCTGGGCCTAACATCCAGTGTCATAGGCCTAATACCCAATGTCATAGGCTGCCACCAAAAACTCACAATCCCAAAGCAAACATGTTAAAATCACTAACACTAACACTAGGCCTATACAGTGTATAATGTATAAATGTGTTTCCACCTCCCTACTAGCTTAGTCTAGGGCAGGCCTAGGGCCTAGGCAATACTACTATAATTCGTAATATTTTTGTGTGAGCCTTGTACAGGCTAGCACCCCCTCCCCCAGCCTAGTGTATTTTTATAATGATATAAAGCCTAAAAAAGTAAAATGAACATACTTTGGTCTAGTTAGGCCTACCGGTGATTGATATTGTCTTGCACTTCATACGTTTTCATTTTTCTAGACAAAGGTGCTAGGTTGGCAGGCTAAACCCCAGTTGAAAAGCACTTCACAAGCACAGCAAATAACATTGCAAGAGCACATTATCATTATTTTTAAAGAAAGATAATGGTCATTAATACATTAAATTAAAAACAATATATGCCAGCATTTATTTCAAACTAGTTATTGAAAAATATTTTAAATGCTAATCTTGTAGGTGTATAAAGAGAGTCTGAAAGCTTTGAAGAATACTGTATGTATTTGGCAGTGCATGTACAATAGGACTGTGTTTTTAGTTTGCTGAAATATATAAATTTTGAATGCTTAGGAGCAATGTATGGGCACCAGATTGTAAAGTAAGACCTGCATGAGGAATAATAATATATTATAAAATTAGGCTTTGACTAAATCTTAATATATAAACAATGTACTATGCAGTTGTTACGATTCTGCACTCCTATTTTCCTTGATTTTCTGCACAAATTTGAGCTACTTTTTGAGGTATCATCCGCGCAATTAAAAAACTTTACAGCATGGTACAAGCAACCAGTGCCCTTAGACTGGTATTCTTTTTCGATGGTCATTATGTTTGTACTCGACAATAATTTTCTTTCTTTTCTCTTTTTCTCATTCTGATTAGCTGAACGCAAGACACGGGATATGATATATAAAGACATCATTAGCTTTGCACCTTGTGTAAGAAGATTTAATCGTGACAACCAAACAGGATGCTCAAGTATGTTCTTGATTTCATTCCAATTTATCAGCTCTGGCTGGACAGACCACCTTCACATAATAGGCCCTATGAAATAAATTGATTAGTTTAAAATAATCTATTTAAAAAAATTAAATTATCTATAAACACTTTAATGTTCTTGTTATCCCACAGGTGATATGAATGGTAACACAGGTGTTGTGCATTATATTGAAAATCTGGACAACCTTGATTGGCTGCTTAATAAGGGTCCCCATGAACCATATATGCCCATATTATCACCACAGATGTTTACAGCGTAAGTATGGAACTATACACAGGGGTCCCGAGTTGGAAGAATCCAAAACAGGGAGATTTTTAAATGAGCTTTCTTAACACAATTATTATTATTTTGCTGTGCATGGTGATACGCATTGGCACTGACTTCCGCAAGACAATTGTTAATACAGTAGTAGTCGTGGGAGATGGGTTATTTTTCTGGAGACAGTACCAATTTCCGGGAGACTCCTGTGAGTTGGGGAGACTTGGGACCCCTGTATACATTACCATGCTCATAATGTTCATTACAATCCTATCACCAAATTTAAATAATCAAATAGGCAAAGTTAACAGGAGATATTTTTTTAACTCAGTATTTTTACCAATATCAAAACTTTTCTTGATTTCAGACATGTTGTTAAAAAGCTGGCTGATTCACCTAAAGTTAATGGCATGTTAGTGATTCATACAAATGTTGAGGACCAGGTGATGGATGCAAATTTCTCATTCTCTCCCGACCAGTCATGTCCTAACGAAGGATTCGGTATGTCTTTGTATTTATTTGATTTATTTTCTTCACACAAATCGGCATATTTTCACTGATTCTTTTAATCATTTATTCATTTGATAAAAAATTCCACTCGCTGTAAAGGCATTGAATTATGGCATTTTCTTCACGAAATATGTTAAAAATTGTTAATAAAAATGAGTGCAATGCATTTAAATGAAATAATCCATGTTATTAATTGTTTTCTTCAGGGTATGGATCATGTGGAATTCAATGGAACAAGCCTGGATCCAACTTATTTGCCTTAGATTTCAACATACCAATTTTTGCCTTAACTGATGAGGATGAAGTTCAAAGTATTGTAGGTGTAAGTAATCAGGATGACAGCGACCTTTAAGACAACTATGATTACAGTATAAAAATAGTATTATTTTTTGCCTGGAGACTTATCAATTGAGAGACTGTTCTTTTGGGAGTGCCCATTTTAGTAGATATAAATGGATGATAGGAATTCTCTGCCAATTCTCATTATTATTGTGTGGAATTGATTTTAAATTGGGCAGATTTTGAGGGGGGAAAAGAAATTATTGACCACCCAAAATGCCTCAGGGGTTATTTCTGGGCATCTAGAAAACAAAAATTTCTCAGGGACCTGCTCTCGGACCACCTTAGGGTTGAGACATCCCTGGATCCACCCCTGTCAGTTGTGAAAAAAAAAAAATTCTGGTGATAGACAGGATTTAAACCCAGAACTCTGAAATTGGAGTATGTGCACCAAAGCTCTAAACTACTGTATTTAAGCCTACAGCTCTCCTTCCAATTAAAGACCACTTTGTGACCAGGTTTCCATGGTCTTTACCAGCCTTGGTCGCTATGTAGAATAATAGAAGTAAAAGATATTTGTCAATTGGGACCACAGAAATATGGTTGTTAATTGGAGGGGTCTTTAATTAGAGGGAGACCTGTATATACAGTACTGTATATATTTGTTAATGTAATTTGAATTTGTTTGTATTCTTAGTGCTACAATGATACAAATAAACCAAACGATAAAGGAGAAGCTCAGGAATATCCACTGTGCGCTGTTGAACTGAAGGATTTCATGTTTGGCGCTGTGAACACGGAAATATGCATGCGACGATCGACAAATCCAACAAATATTGAATATGTCGGCTATTGTGATCCGCTATCAGACTACAACGTATGGGGCACGCTGAAGCCCACAAATAAGAAAGATCTACACACTGATTCTGTGATTATAGCTGCAGCACCTTTGGATTCAACAAGTTTGTTTTATAATGTCACTCCAGAGCCAGGTGTTGAACTCGCAGCTACTGGTTTCATCACGTTACTGTCGGCAGCTTATGCCCTTGGTAGTCTTTCAGAAGATCAAAAGAGCAAACTAGACAAAAACATTCTATTTGCTTTTTTCCATGGGGTATGTTAAAATTTGATATAACATGTTTTTCATAGCATTTCTAAAGAACATTTCAAATCAAATTTACACTAATAATTGAAAAGAAAAAAAAGCAATATTTGAAATACATCTACTATTGCTCCATGGAGGAAATTGGTAGTGAGTTTTCAGTATTCAGCATAGACCAGTTGCATTCAAGAAGTTTTGGTTTATGTATGATGTCACTGATAGGAAGCTTTCGATTTGTGCAACGACGCAATGCTAGAACAGATTCACTCATGCTTGACTGTCCTACTGGAACTCCTACATTCTCTGCATATGTAGATTTGGCCAAATTGCGTCCTAGGTTCCATGCGACTGCGAGAACTCAACGTTCTCACATGCGCAGAGGACTTTTAGTGACGTCATTACGTTCTATGTCCTACCGTCGACGTGCAGTCGAAAGCACCCTAATAACACATTGTTGTACTGCTTGTGCATCATTTCAACTTTCATGTTTTTGTAATTACTATTTTTGAAAAAAGGTTCTCACTTTTTTGTTACCCCACTGGCTCATGGTTAACACTTGACAACTATTTTTGTGTTCATTCTTTAATAAAGGGGACACAAGCAAATGGAAATGAGATTTAACCTCCGACCTTAAGAGCCCAAACCCAAACCACAAGAAAACATTCAAGAATTATAATATTCTATATAAATGCACTGCTAATGCAAGTTGCAGTTTAGCCATTGACAGCTGTGATAGTGAATTTGATTCATGAATGTATTACTGGTAAATTCAATTTCCTATTTTGTACAGGAAAGCTATGACTACATTGGCTCTTCACGAACAGTTTTTGATATGCAAAGAAATCAATTTCCAGTTGTGGAGGATAACAAAAAAGAGCAGCCGGCCCAAGTAAACCTTGAAAATATTGCAATGTTCTTGGAACTGCGCCAGCTTGGACTGCCTCAAGATCAAACTTACTTTGCACACAAAGATCCAGACTCTGAAGGTGGAAGTGTAAGTCAACAACCATTGAGATGAGTTAAAATCCAATCACACTTGTTATATTGGCCCATCACCTCCTTTACTGCAGCCAACTCAAAATGACCGTCTGTTCACCGTTAGTATTTTAAGTCAGTTCAGGATCGCACTGCGAAGGTTAATACTTCCCTCTTGTGCCAGGTTTTTTTTGCGTAAAATGTTATGGTATAAGGTGTCATAATTGACCGCTATCAAGTTTACGTTCAGATATGAAGATGAGTCAGCCCAGGTCTTGCATTGCAGGACCAGAGTTGACTTTATAGTTGGACCAAATTGACTTTGGGCCGACTTAAAATTGATTGATTGTTCACGCTTAAAAAAGGGTGGCCCTGAGGTGGTCCTGAGCTGATGTAACTATTAAGTGTGATTGGGCTCTTGGATTCTTTCTTTCTGATTGTTGTTAATTTTGCATTATTTTGCTGCTAAATTTTGAATTAGCACTTACATTTCTGTAATTATTGTTTTTCTAAATTAGATGTACTGTAGATACATCCATTGAAATATAACTATCCAGAGGATTCTTTACTTTGATTGGTTATGATACATATAACTGACACATTTGCATACACTTTCTGTAGCTGTTAGACTGTACTAATTTTTTTTTATATCAGTTTTTGAGTGAATAACAAGCATGTTTCATACATAATCAAACATTATCTAAGCATTGTTTAGGTCTAGTCATTAATTTAAGCTCAAATCAACTACAATTGTAGGGTTGTAGCTGTAAAAAAAAACCAGTGGGTGATAACAATAATTAACACTAAATAATAAGAGTGGATTTTAAAGTTGGGAAAGGGGGTTAATAAAGGTTGGAGGGTGGCCCTGAAATTAGCTTTAGACTGGGTGGAAAAACTTGTTTCTATCTTTTCTGACAATACAATATATCTAAACAATACTTTATATAATAGACACTACTATCCAACCAAGTCTAATGCTTCTTTTGTTTTGGTAGTACTTTTTTGATATACTGCAAGATGCTTTTAGATCAACAAGTGTGTCATTAAAGAAGCCACCAAACGGCCAGCGTTTACCACCTGCATCATTTCAAAGCTTTTTACGTAAAAATAGTAGCATAGATGGTCTGGTTATAACTGACCATGAGACATACTACAATAATAGGTAAATTTTGGTTTGTATTTTCCCTTTCATTATCGTTTATAATGTTGAAGTGTCTTTTAATTGAAATTTAAATTGTACACAATTAAGTCTGCCTTATCCATATACTGTACTGTACTTGCTGAGTTTTCGAAATATGGAGTGACAAAGTTGGCATGGTCCAGCTATTGGTTACACTGGAAGAAGATTTTCAGAAAATTCTTAAAGAAAACAGTCATTAGTTTAGTTGTGTATTGCTAACATCATCAAAGTCACTGTGATCTATGTGATTATATATTTTATTATTGCATTGCGAGTGGGAGTGATGGTTGTGTTTGGTTGTAGTGGCATTTACAAGAGTGATATCGCAATTTTTTTTAGACATAATTAAATTGTTCCTATAATTCTTTATTTTTGTTATTGACGTTCTTTTTACACTGTTTCTGAATTAGCGTTTTGTACACTTTTGTAGTTTGTTTAGAATATATAATTTATATATGGTACCTGAAGACTATCTATATTTTATTTGACAAAAACATGTGACATGTCTAAGTATGGTCATGATGACATCACATCATGACCATATATAGGCACATCATGACCATATATAGGCACATCATGACCATATATAGGCACATCATGACCATATATGGGCGTACAACATTTTTTTATCAAAGAAAATCTCTTAGTGTGGACAGAGCATAACATGTGTAAAGGGATGATTTCACTTTGTTTGCAGCCATCTCATTTTTGTTTGAGAGGAATAAAACTATAAATTATTCTAAATTAATATTTTAAAAATCATTACTAAACCATGAAACCCTAACAACGAATGCAATACAGGTCTTCCTCTAATTAAAGACCCCTCCAATTACAGACCACTTTTCTGTGGTCCAAAATTAACAAATGTCTTTTATCTTTATTATTCTAATTAGAGACCAAAGCTGCTAAAGACCATGTAAACCTGGTCCCAATAGTGGTCTTAATTGGAGGGAGACCTGTATTTAGAATTGACAGCATTCATGCTTAAAAGTGATTTTCTAATTTTTTTTAGATTCTACAATAGTCGTTTTGAAGTAGCGTCATATTTAGGATTAAACTTTACTGATGATGAGGAAGCAACAAGTCCTTTAGCAGAAGTATGTATTTCCAGTTGATCTTCATTTTGCAAATATTGCATAGCATGTTTCGTTTTTGCTTAATAGTAAAAATAAATCTCAACTGACGGACCCTGCACTTGGGCAACACAACAATTTTTAGCCGAATAAATTGAATAACATCTTGTAGTTAGGATGGGTAAATTGAAATCTTTAAGCAGAATACACAAGGTGCGCAAAGACCTGGTGGACTAATCAATGGATCTTTAAGGAGTTTTAATCAAACTTAACAACTGGCCAATCAGAACAGAGCAAAGAATACTTGTATCTCTTAAACAAGCACACGTGTTGTTCCACAAACACAGGTTTGCGGGTGTTTAACACTCTGTGGTTTGTGGGTTATGTGGGCAACAATACCCAAGGGGTGGGGCGTAGCGAAATGTAATGAATATTTCTTTGTTTCAATTGAAGAATAAAGAAAATGTGTTTTTCTATTCAGAAATTAAATGATGTAGCAACAGCAGTTGCTAATGCTTTGTATGTTGAAGCTGTTGATAATGCATCAGTTGTATACCAATTAGAAGCTAATATTAATATTGTAAGTACATGACAAATTATATTATTATTTACTTCACTAATACACTAAGTACTTACAGAGCATATAGCCTTGTAGTCAAGGATGCCTGTACATAAACAACACCTTCATAATAATGAATAGAACCAAATTTATCTGAATGTTTCCTGTTGCATCAACAGGGCATGATCAACATCTGACAATGAGGAGATATCATATACAAGTTATTGGAAACCAAGAAATAGTATTTTACTGTTAACACGTTGAATGCCAGACCTTTTTTTTAGGTTCCTTCCCGTGTGCCTAAACAATTATACGTGTACAAACATACTTTTTGAAATTTTATAAAAATGATGTGTCGAAAATATTAGAGGACGAGTAAACTTGTTTTGCCTCTGCCAAGTGTGAGTTTTCTCGTCCGCTTTTTGCAATCGAGTGTACTGGCGGTAACATATCACAACAAACATATATACCTTATTTGTACTTTATCGTCTAGGTGTATCTTACCGAACTATCAACCGTTAAGTCTGTAGTTCTACAATGTATAACAGTGAAGTACTAAGCGCTAGAATGTTACCCCGATTTTGACGAGTATAGTTATCCCTAGCGCCCTCAGCAACATCCTTTGAGACAAGTATACTGGTCGCTGGCAGCTGACATGTTAAATTGATGAACATCTCAATTAAATAGGACAGTGATATATATTCGCTATTGGCAATCCTTGGCACATGTGTTGTGTGCCTAAAGAAAGAATAATAATAATAATAATAATAAATTCTTTTTTTTCCTACAGACTAGCCAGCTTATTTACTGTTTTCTTTATCGACCCACATGCTCGTTATTTCAAAGTGTCGTTGATGAAGAAAATGTTGCTTCATTGTGTGAGTAATAATACATAATAAAGACAATTTTATAGCTTTGTCCAGATTAACAAATTTTCATTGAAGAAAATCTATTGTATGCCCATATATAGTCATTTAGATGTGGTCATAATGTGATGTCATCATGACCATATTTAGGCATGTCACATGTTTTGTCAAATAAAATGTAATAGTCTGGACAGAGCTTAATGAAACTGAGTGGAAAGATAAAGGTCATTTTTTCTGTCCACAATAAATCGCCAAACTGTTTGTTAAAATAATCAAATTAAATAAAGTGAGACAAGTGAAATGAATACAATTAATTTGTACAATTGTTTCGTACTCCGAAAATCTTTTACCAATGTTCACAAATATAAGGGTCCATGCAAATATAGAAATTGCATTATTTATGCTTATGTTAATTGGTTCAGAAAATACTTTTGACTATGTTTAGCACTAAATCAGCATTTAGTAACCATCACTCCCTTAATATATTTTGGCTGATAAAATGGGCCACAACTGGACTAAAATCCACTGTCAAAGAATTGAATCAAAGATTGAATGCTATCATACAATTAGTTTGGGCTTCTACTTGAGGAAAAAATATATTTTTAACTAAAAGAAAAACCTGATTTTAAATTCTGAAGACTTGTAGTCAGTTTTATTTATGTACAATAAAGATTAATTATGATTATGACTGTTATATTATTATTTTCCCCAGCAAAAATTCCCTATCAATTTTACATAGGAGTTCATCCAACGGAGGCACATCGTAGTCCTTTTGCAAGTTTGGTTCAGAAGCTTCTAGCTTCCTTCATTCCTCTTGATATTAATAATAAAATAAAAAGTGAGGATTGTAAGAATGCTGAAGGAAGTGAGGTAAGCAAGAGAAAATTCTTTTTTTTTTTCTGTATTGTTTTTTTTAAATAATTATTTATATAGCACGCTTTACTAATTGTCTTCTTAAAATGGGTGTACATCTGCTGTAGTTGTCCAAAATGCAATGATATATTTTATCATTCATTTTTATCTATTTTTATTAATAAATATCTTTATTATTAATAAATCACTTCACAAGAAATACATTTGCAGCAGATGCTGAAGTATTTGTACAAAATTGCTATTTTACAAAAAGACATAAAAATTCATTACAAAAATACATAAAAATTAAATTAAAATAAAAACCACCAAATTAAAATATAAAAAAAACCAACCAATAAAACAGAATTTTTCCAGTTTCAAGCAATTTCCGAAGGTATGTGGGCCTATCTTTGAAGCATTTAGTTTTAAGAAGAGGATTCTCATATTTTCTTTTATTGCAGAGTTCCATTGTGAATTTCCAGTAGGTTAATTAAAAGATAAAATGCTCAGAGGGGTGGTTAGGCTAGGCTGTATAGGGGCAGTCCGTCTGTCGCTGCAGTACTCTCACCAACACAAATACCCCAGCAGGGTTCACTGTTAGGTCCTAACCAATAAGCTCAAGTAGTCATAAGTTCTCTTTAATTTATTTTACTCTACATCCTCTATAGCTCTTTGACTATACATATATGCAAGGCCCAGACAGAAAAGGCACGTGTGTGAAAAGTGCTACAGGATTTACAGTTGCTGTATCCCCAGCATTCGTCACTGATGTTGACGGCTTCCCACAATGGAAGTCGGAATACTACTCCACGTGGACGGAGAGCGCATGGCAGACATACACTGCACGTCTGTTTCTCAAACCAAGCCGCCAACAGGAGGTAATCTCTCACATGACTTCTTGCAAATATATTAAAACTAATCATTTACAAATACACCTTGAGTATATTTCCCGCACGATTAAATCGTAACGGATTTAAAAATATTACACTTAAGAACATTCAGTGCCCCCTCTAATTTGAGACCCATCTAATTCTGAGACCCCTCAAATTCGAGACCACTTTTCAAAAGAACCAAATAACAATCTTCAATCTTTTAGCACAAAGCTAACCCTCTAAATTTTGGACCAAACCTTAGACTACCCCAAATTTTCAAGTCCCAAAATGGTCTGGAATTGGAGGACAAACTGTATACCAAAATAAACGGAATAACCATTATTTATAAAGCTAATTTATTTTGAACAATATACACTCTTTAGAGAAGAACAGGGGATTTTGTACTCTCCAGGATGTCACTTTTGTTTATTTGTATGGGTTATCATTATGGGTTATCATTACGGTTTATCATTGGTGTGATTAACACCAAAGAAATCCAGTCTAATCTAATGTACAATATAAATAATGCAGAAATGAATATATTTTTAATAATGTTTACTTTTCTTTCTTTCAGTCGCTGATATTTTCTCTTGGAATGATTGTCATACTAATTTCATTTCCACTCGTTTACATCATAAATTTGAAATCGGAAACCCTTTTCAGTAGAGAATGAACTTCAGCAAAGGTCAAGATCATTGCCACTCACATGTCAGCCTATTAGCTTAACTGCATGTGTTTAAATGACACGATTCCTACAGCAAACATCAGGTGGGATATTTAAATCAAATGTGAATGTGGATGAAACGTTTAACCATCTTTTAAAAGTTTCCTCTACAAAGAGTGGATGATCAGGACTATATACTGTGCTGCCTTTTTTTTTTTTAATTATTAATAATAAAACAAATAAGTAAATATTACATTAAGCCTATTATTACAATTTAATATTATTTTTATTATATTTTTTAGAGTCTATCTCTATTTTATATGACCCAAGCAGTACCACACTCTAATTTTTGAGTGAAAAATGGAATGTGTTTGATTTTGAGAATGGTCGAGTATAGGAGAAATATTGGTGGCAATCGCTTATTACACCTTAATTTTTTCATTTTCTTCAGAAGGATTTAGAACTATGTATATGGAATAGATGATTGGTCAAACCAAAGTGGATGAAAGAAATTATTTGAAAATTTGAAAAAAAATAAAAAAAGTTATTATTTATAAATTTATGTTGATTGATAGAATGTTTGGGATGTTGCTACATTGGAAGCAAGCAACAAGTCACTCTAACTCAGGATCTTGATGCATTAAGTGTGTTTATCTTCTTGTAAATTATAGTGAAATACTTTTCAAATGGCGGGTCCAAAAACATATTTAATTGTTTGTGAAATGTCATTTGTTAGGTTTGTGTTTTGCAAGATGACCCTGTAAAGTTGCATTATGTTGTTCCTCTGATTTTTTTTGCTGTAATTGTTCCCATATTGTGCTAGGAGCTATTAAGCCGGGCAATCATTGCGTCGGACAGTTGTTGGCCGACGCAATTCTATGGTGAACACAACGCCATGACGCGTACACAATGCCAAGGCGTACACAACGCAATGACGCGTGCGCAACAAATGGTTTTTAATGATGAGCCCTTCATACTGCCACTGGCAATCAGCAGATGAGGTCGTATCTAAAGCTCACAGTGAGGGGAGTTGGATTCCACGGTCGTACGATCGTCGTACGAAGCAGTGATTGCCCGGCTTTAGTTTACAATATTATCATCCTAATTTACATCTTTAGATATCACTGCACCAAATAATAAATTTTTTGATGGTGCGGATTAAAATTTTGTTCAGTAGAGAATTGGTTAAATGAAGACTTGTTATTAAATTTTGGGGAAATATGATTATCTATGAATAATTAAAATTGTGCATGTCATTGTTTCTTTTGCACAAAACAGTATGATAGCTGTTTTATATATTTTAAGTGACTGTATCTATGTTAGCTGTATATCTGTGTAAACATGTCCATATGCTTTTGTTTTTAACTGAAAGACTTAAAACTTGTTTACAAAATTAACACAAAAAAGGGAAATATTCTTTTTAGTCGATATTGTTGATATAGAGAAGTCTAATGATATTAAGAAGGGTTGAATCTGTGTAGAATCTTTTTGATTAATAAATGATTGATGATTATCATTTTTATGTAAAAAAAAAACCCCCATAGTTTTATGGCATTATTGTTATGACTTTCAAATTGAGGATTAATTGTAATAAAGAAGCTTAGTTTTTAGGAGTTTTGAATGCAATAGAATTTCACTCACACCAATGTAATCAAGCGACATTGCAGGCAACATATGTTTATTACTTTTCAACAACCAAAATTAACTCCATTCCCAAAGTTCATGTATAGCATCATGTGTTTGTCTTGTGAAAGGGATTCTAAGACAGTGATTAGGTTCATCTGCCTAAAAACATTAGAAATGACGCTAATCATAGGCTGTGGTGGGTTTTGTAGAAGCCCTTTACTTATTTTGAAGCAGTGTTGTGCAGCGGGAATGGTTTGTTTTCAATCTGTTGCTGTGCATTTCGCTGATGTCTTTGAACAAGGCACCTTATCTGCATTGTTTCTATCATGGAGTATACAAACGTATACCTCCATGATTCACATCCTCCCACAATAATGTAGGAAAAAGGTGCTTTGTACTGTATCTGCAAAGAAAGACATAAATAAACTTAAAATATATAAATAAACTGTATGATCAAACTTTACAATTTTACTTGGCATTAAATGTCTTCACTAATGACTATCCTTTAAATAATAATTAAATTGTCAAAAAAAAAAAATAATAAATAACCAATATTTTTGATGGATTTTAGATATTGAAATTGTTACTGATTTGAGCACTCTTCCTGTTTGTTTTGTGACTGTGTCGAGCCGTTTGTCATAAGTCATGTTGGTGTGAGTTTATTTTAAGTTCTGTAATTTATATTTATTTTCTCTAAACTGTCATGAAAACATTTTGCAGCAATATACTTGTTTTATATATAAGATAACAATGTGTGTATATTGGCCTATAAATGGACTTATTATTGTGTAAAATGTTAGTTAATCTGATTTATTAGATTTGATATACAATAAAACACAATTTACTCCAAAATGATTACATACATATACTTGTAACTGGGGGAGGTAGAGGTACTATGGTGTGGCTGAACCTCTAATAAACTCAACTATGCCTTCACTTGCATCATATGTCATCACCATGATGATGAAACATGTTGGAGTGTTTGACCTCCACAAGGGCTCTCTCAAGGATTCCACCAAAGTGCTTCATAGGTAAGCCCTCATGTGGAATCCCAGTTACTGGTCTGATACAATATGTAGGCGGAGACTTTTTACTGCTAGAAGGTTTTCTTTATGTTGATGGTCTAATATACCAACCTGTGTATATATATTGATATGCAATATTATGATTATTTATGGGAGGCAAAAATTGAATATGCTGTATATGATTGGAATGTCCATTGAGGCAATCTTGCCTCTAGCTAGGTATGATGCTGTTGATGGTTGAAGAATTGGCAGGATTGCAAATAAGTGGTGACACTAGCGACACCAGCCGGGTAGGAAAACCACAAGTTGTTGGAGAGAAAACAAATTTAATGTACTATCTATAATTCAGGTCTACTCAAAAGCCCTTCATGCTGATAAGTGAGGAGCAAGGTTACTAATTACTAATAGTGGCTATAATCCTTTGATTGGTATTGGTTAAATATTGTTCTAAGCTGAGTATACCTGGTTTTCTAGGAGTTGATTGAAAGTACATTTGTTTTGTGTTAATATTAATTTGCATTGTGAGTCCATCATGTATGATTTTAAGATATAGGCCCATATTCTTGAAAGTGGACTAACTTCAGTCATGGACTTTGCTTTTGAGAATACGGGCCGCCTTCAAATCTTCAAAAAGTTTCATTTAGTTTCTTTTAGAGATCGAAACGTCCTGAGTAAGTACTCTGTTACTAACTTTTACAAAAAAGAATTTGTCATCTTTATGATGTAATATAGTCTTTGTTGAGACAAACAATACAATTCAACACTTAAATTGCTTTGTATGTTTATATAAATAACTTTCAATTGATACAAATACTATGTTTTGTTTGCTAATTAACAGACACAAGAATAATACCGTTCCTACTATATACGCTTTACATAGACTCTTAAATTGGCTGGTAATCAATTTAAGAATTTTAGTGCCATCATGCTATCATTTCAATATTTCTTCTTTTTTCAAGTAAAATGTAGAAATCTCATTGATGAAATAGCAGATTAAAAATCATTTTAAGTTTTCTTTTAATAATTGGTTGTATTTGTGTATGGTATATTCGATAAAAATACTGCTGTTTTGTTATTATTTTATACAATGGTACTAGCTTGACGGTAAACAAACTTAAGGCCTATGGGCTCTTGTGCGGCAAAGCCCCAAGCCTCCAGTCCTAAGGATTGCCATAGGGCCCCCTCCTTGCTAACACACTGTACTCTACTGTACCATGGAATTCCAGTCCAGTAGATGTACAAAACTAGCAATATAATTCCTGACAACCCTTCTTTTATAAAAGGCCCAAGTACGCCTACAAACCAAAATTAAATGGTAAACAAAACATGAAGTTAAAGGGCTGCTAGAAATCACAAGATCACTTTTTAAAAAATCAACTGAAAATTACGATGCACGCAAGTGAAAATTTAATAAGCAATGTACGATGGACATAAATGTTGAATCTATAGTTTTTATTTTGAATGATATTACTGTATTGCCTATAATGCAATCTTTTCAGCCTGAATATTCATATATATATTTAAGGTACGGAGAGGATTCACTCAAATACTGTACTGTCCTCTCTGCCACTTTCGTGACATCTACATGGACCCAACCTCTCCCTCGCCCCCAGGTCCTGTGCCTCATAGCCACCCCTGATAAAATACAGAAGCTGGACTCAAAAAAGATGCTAAGGCAACTAACAGAGAACATAAGCACTTGTTTCGTTGCATAGAAACAAATGAGAAAAGTAATGATTCAAATTACAGATTACGGATTCGGACAAACTAGAGTTCGGACTTCCATCGAACTACTTTTGAGACCGTGTACCCTAAACAGGTCATTTATAGGGTGTATGCATTTATGAATCATCCCATGATATTTTTGTGTTTCCCAATTACCTTGGACAGTGCATGCCTTATCTTTTAATTTTTAATGTCCTCTTTAACACCAATAGTTTGCAGGCTATTTAATATCCATGTTCAGTTCACATTTACTAATTATATCTATAAATATTAGCGTTTAATCTTTGAAAACATTCTTCACGTTTTAAGGTAGGCCAGTATTAGATCGCAGAGTTGAATTTTCAAAGTGCATTTTAACGTTACATAGATGTTTAAAATGTTTGTTTTAAATAGGCATAATTATATGTAGACTTATGTATGCGTTTCCCTGTTTCACCTGTTATTAGAATAACATTATTATTATTATTACTGTTATTAGAATGACATTCAATTTTAATTTTTTTTTTTTTTAAATGGTTTAAGGATTGAACTGTTCCATATTTGCATGTAAAATAACCGAGAGCAAATATAAAAAAAAAATCAGATGAAAAATATTTAGGGCCTGTTGAAACCCACGCTAGGCATAATGATCTCACCCTAAATAAGGAAAACAATTTGGTAGTTCAAGAACAACCCATCCTCCACACCAGACTAATCTTTTTAACATCTAAGCCTAAAACAGTTAAATGACTAAAACATTAGTTTGAAGGACTAATCATTACTTTCAAGCCTGTACTGCTATCCACCTTTCTAGTACAATACTGGTATTAGCAGAGACCTATCAACATAATAATAATAATAATAATAATAATAATAATAATAGTGTAGTTTTATATAGCGCACACATCCATCTAATGTAAGATGCTCAGGGCGCTTGATATGTGGACTAGGAACTCGATCAACATGAGGGTGTTGCCTCAACCCCCTTCCCTAAAAAGGTTCTCCCCCAAATTAAAATTTGCTGAGCAGAACAGTTATGAATAGTGAAAAACTTATCATCATCTTATTTTGCCATATAGTGCCCACCTCACTTAATCTTCAGCTACACATCTAGATGTGTATAAGAGACAGCCCCATGACACCCCATGTCAATAGTCCTAGATCATGGTACTGTATGACAAAGACAAAGTATTTGCTTATTTTTAATATTGTTAGCTCTGAATACACAAGGCACCGTAACACAGGTTCGACTTCCTAAAAAAACACCATTCATCTTGCCTCAATTTATGCTGATATTTATTTACACATGTTACATATTCACAAATGTACTTGAAATAATTGTCCATCAATTATTTTTAAAAAACTAGTGAAAACATCAAATACCTGATATTTGAAAAAAATAACTGTTTAGAATATTGCTTATGAATATTCAAGTAACATTCTCTTCTTGAATAAGGACTTAAAACCAGCTTGTGTGCACTTCAAAGAACCCATTGCAACTCTTGGAAGAGTAGGCGGTGCCTCCAACCAAAGAGTATAAATAGAACAAGAGAGCTTACTCCTGTTTTTGAAAACGTCATGCCTGCGTAGGACACCCACTGACGGTTGTATGCACGTCAACATCATTAGGCCGACCAGCCCTCCTTAAACTAACGTTAGAATACCGCACTTTCGGCGGTAAAGAACAATTAAAACCTCATAAAAAGGCAGCTAATCCGTTTACCCATAATTGAATCCAAGGACACCAGTGTTAAACACTCAGTACTTATCCTTGATAATGTGTTTAATCCAATTAATATAGTGAGATAATGTAAGTTAGTTTATTGAGGGCAGGTTGAGCTAATGTGAAGCTACACAGTGCCTCCACAGCTGCTACAGTAGTCATAAACCACGTCCATATCCAATTCAGCACAATGATGCAAGTTATGAGGTATTCTCCTCCCTTTACCTTACAAACCAAGACAAAGTTATGCACAAATATTTGCTTATACCATAATAAATAATATTTTCTGTTTAATAACCTTGTCAGATATTAATTTTCTTTGGAATTTTCATAGAAATGTTGCTTTGAATATGAATCAAATTATAATAGCAACTTTAAGTAAGTCTATAATACTGTCGTCAAAACACATTTTGAAACCTGTTTTCAATATTTAAAATACATTGATAACTTACTCTCTTAAAAGAGATCAAATATTTAAAGAATTGCCATTATTATTTTTATTGATTTAAATTTTAATTAAAATCCAAATCATCAATGTAATTAATGATATAATCAATTTATAAGTGAATTAAAATCATCAGAAAAAAATATCTACATTTGAAATGAATGCAGAACCTTAATGATCAATTGTAAACCTGATGATAGACAATTTGAATATTAAAACATGATACTGACTGCTAATGAATTAAGTTTAATAATTGCAAACAATGCAAATTATTAATTTATTAATATTATTAATCAATGCCACAGACGGTTTCTACATTATCATCACCCTCCTCATTCATATTCTCCTCATAAAATCTCATTCTACTGATCATCATCTTCCTCTTTCACCATAATCTCATCATTTTTATCATCCTCATTTATCTACATCATCCTCATCCTTATTATGATTGTTGGCCCATCATAAGCAAAACTATGCTTATATCATTTTGATAACAACATATGTTATGTTATCAGTATTTAAATCACAGAAAATAAAAAAAAACCCACCAAACCCAATAAATGAGCCATAAAAATGACAATCGTTATTGATTTTGTTTGGATAAATCAATTTTTTAAAGGACAGTAATCATGATATTTTTTAAATATGAAAACAAAAACCTTCCAAAATAATTTTTGCGAATTGAATGCCAAGCACAGATGGCGTGATACGATCTTTAGCCGACGAATCTACCTCTGCTCTTAATGAGAGTTTGAAGATAATGCCGCCTGCTTATTAGACCGAGCGATCCGATATGCATGCCTCGTCGCAGCGCATTCTCCATGGAATCACGGCCAAAAACCAGTGATTGCTCGGCTTGCTATTATATCTAAACCGGACAATATTAACTACAGTCAATTTTACAGATATCATTGGTTTCATTACCAATTGTGAAAGACAATAAATAAATATATTTTGATTCTGAGACGCAATCTTGAATGGTTATTATATTCTTTAAACAAATTTAGAATATACTTATTTACTCTAACAACAGATTAGTGCTTTCACAACCACTTGACCTGGTTTGGCAGTTTCAATGAGAAATACCAAAAACAGTATCCAATACTGGAAGGAAGTTCACTTAAGTATGGTAACTAAAACCAAAGAGAAAATAGATTTTCTCTATACTAAAATGGAGTTCACAACAGCTAGGGTAATATAAGTAGTAAAATGTTTGCCAATATAGCACCTTATGCACACAAAATTAAAAAAAGTTAAAATAATTAAGAAAATAAAACAAACTTTCAACAGTTATTTTTAACAAGTACATTACAATATCGTACTTGTCTATACATTGCACACTATAGGAGGAAATAAAGATGTTATCGGTCCTCAAATTTACAAATTGGCATTTAATTTGCTATTTATGCTCCTTCAAGTTATACTAAGATCAAGTTTTCAAGTTGAAACTCATAAGATTTGATGGTGCTTCTAGCTTGGATTACATCACCAGATTAATTCCTAATTTGTTTTACTCAACAAGGAGTCGGTGGGCAAAAAGCGAACAAGTGTCCGATGTCTTGGCCAGTATTTTCATCTTCAGAAGACTACTCAATCAATCATCATTCCCTTGTGTTGATATTACTGCTAAGCAAGAGGGTGATCTGCTGCTATTCTTCACCATTGCACCGCAGCACGTAGTTTTTCTCCCTTCCTCAGAACCTGACACAGTCAATCACATTGTATAGTCATAAATATAATTGCCTGATACATAAAAACACATACATCTTTTTTGTCAAGTATAAATGCTATTCAAGGTCATCATGCAAGCCCAGTTCATCCGATGACATATCAGACACGCAACTGTTCTGACGATTTGCTTCACCGTTAACAACCATGTTGTCTAATGATGGCGATCTTGATGGATGTTGTCCACCAGCTGCGATCGGTGACATTTCCTCTTCCTGCATCGACTCCATCGCTTCTACTGCTCCAGAACTGATAGCTGCTGATGTCACGACATCACCTTCAAGAAAAAATCATTTAAATAAAATAACTAATTATTCCAAAATTCATAATTTATCAATGCGGAATGACATTTACTAAGTCAAAGAAAGTACCATTTGCAAGCCACTGCTATCTTAAACAGAATCAACCACAATAAATAATAAAATAAAAACAAAACAATGCTTAATGAACTTTTCCGGAGTGTCAATCGAACTTAACAACTGAGCAATCAGAACAAGGCCAGGATTACACACGCATCTAATAAGCACACGTGTTGTCCCCTAAACACACATGTTTTTAAATGTTTTAACACTGTCGTTTTGTGGGACCTCAAAAATATGCAAGGGCGGGGCTTAGTGGAAAGATCCATTGATCGTATATTACTACTACAACAGAATGATGACGATTTTACATTCATAGTTTCTAACCACAGGATGTAACCATGATTCATTTACAGGAACATCTGGCCATGCACCGTTCCGATATCTTTCCTATTCAGGACATAGATTTAAACCCAGCCTGAGGGCTAATAGTAAGCAAGTCAAAATAGTACCTTCAAGACACTCAAGGTGGTTTTTGAGGTGAAGTTGATTTGATCAAATTAATGCCAGGTTTCCTTAAAGTCGCTACACTGTTACTACAGTGATTTCAGTGCAATCGTACTGCATAGCAGTTCCTGATGCAATCGAGAAGGCTCCCTTCGACCGACCAATTAGCATCACCGAAAGCTGTTTGTGAAAGCGCGTAGCGATTATATGGAGACCAAGATTAATGATCATTCCAATGACAATTTAATAGAGATTACTTACTGACTGGTGTGTTGGACTGCTGTGCCTCGGCTCCTACCCTGACTTGACCAAAGTTTGCTAGTGATTCAGGCCAGAACCTCTGACTGGATGGACGACTTTGGGTTTTATTCTTTTTTACCTTTGCTGCTTCTGGGTTACTAGCATCTAGCATTGGTTGTAGTATCCTCCTCCTTGCATTGATGAACCTGAAATTAATTAATTAATTAATTTGAAAATATGTCATTATAAATATTATTTTATTGGCATAAATTTTATGATAGAAATTATGATAGACTAAACTAGCTAGAGGTACTGTAGAGACGATAGTGTTTCAGTATATTAACAGTATCAAACACAGTAATACAGTATAAGGATTTAATAACATAAAATTTAACATTAATCTGGCTTATGTGTGCTAAATAATTCTATATTATATTTAATTAATTTGAAAATATGTCATTTTTTCATCATAAATATTATTTCATGATAGAAATTATGAGCTACTGTATATTAACAGTCATCAAACACAATAATACAGTATAAGGATTTAATAACATAAAATTTATCTACGATTAATCTGGATTTTGTGTGCTAAAAAATTCTATATTCAACTTAATTCTTACCAATTGTTAACTTGTAGTAATGTTAAATTTGTTTGTGATGCTATTTGCCTTTTTTCGTCTTCTGTTGGATACGGATGCTTAAAAGAAAGCAAAGAAAACATTCATTCATTTATTACATAATGGTAAAAAAATATACAATAATACATTATGATAATACATAATAAAATAAATGTATTGTTATGTACTTATTAAATATAAGTTATTACTTTAATGACCATTAATGGGATAAAAATTAGAAGACCCCACATAAACACTTCAATACAGAAAAGATAAATAAATAATATTACAGCTTTGTAGCTCTGTAGTCTGTCCAGACTATCAAATTTTATTTGACAAAAATCTGTTGTATGCCCATATATAATCATGATGTGCCTATATATGGTCATGATGTGCCTATATATGGTCATGATGTGCCTATATATGGTCATGATGTGCCTATATGTAGTAATGATGTGATGTCATCACAACCATATTTAAGCACATCACATGCATTTGTCATATAAAATCTGATAATGTGGAGAGGGCTTCAGATAAATTCGAACAGAACATTACTACATTATTATGAAAGCAAAAAGATTACAACGCTATGGGATAAATCCGTTATTTCCAATTGTCTGTACTACTAGTACATATCAATTTGTTTTACTTGTTTTGACCACATAAAAAAACAATTTTAATAATCCTCGTAAACCAGATCAAATCCGCTGAAACACACTAATATCGCCTATATTTTCGTAATTCAACCCAAAAATGATGGAGCCAAATATTTGAAAACAAATATTTTGTAAATTGTTTGCCTTCTATAACCCGTTTCAACCTAATTTATCAAACCTCTAGTTTTTTGGTTACGGGTTTTGTAGTAAATACAGTCAATGTTTGGAAGAGGCGCTAATGGTTAAGAAATAGGGTGATTCCGCAGCGACGTGTTTGCAGTTAAGTAGATCAAACAAATTGATATGGTTCACTCAATGCACAAACAAACTTCACTCCCACTAAGCATTTAGAAATTATAAAGTACTGTACAGACTAACGCGGCTATACTTTTTATTCATCACTAAGCATTTAGTAATTGAAAAAGTCTGTTATGTATGTAATATTATACAGGCTAATAGCATTAAGTCAAGTATGTGCCATATAATGTTAAGTCATTTGAACTTAGCAATATTAAGGCAGTTAACTGCTTGAACACAACCAGTTATTTTATAACTAATAGCCATGTCTGACCTCTGACAATGCTACATTGTTGAAACTTATATCAAATACTTACAACTATATGCTGGAAGAGCCATGATCTCATAACATTTGTTGCATGCTTGGGTAGCACACCACGTTTATTTTTCTTGCGGTTCATAATATCATCGTACGGATCTGTCAATCCTAACGCCATTTGGTTAGATTGTGAAATTGGTATTTGGTTCATTCCCTGTTGCAGCCCACTTGGTGGAAGGCCAATCTGTGAAATGGGCGTTGAGCCATGGATGATTGGTACAATGGGCTGGTGTTGGTTCAAGGGCTGCGGTTGACTAGGCTGGATCTGGACGGTTCCTGGAAGAGCCTGTGTGACTATTCCTTGTGATGTCATCACCCCTTGTGGAATTACTGGAGTATAAACTACCTGACCTGCATGGTTCAGAAGGGCTTGAACTTGTGGTTGTTGAACCTAGAGATATTATTCCAAAAAAAATATATGGTTACCATATGTACACAAGCAACAACTTATTAAAATACAAATACTGTATATACATAATGGATTGGTCCACTGAACATTCCCCATGGGATCAGAAAAGGCTGCACATGGTGCATGGGAGTTTATTCATCTAATGATCACGGATAATTAAAAAAATGGAATGAAGCCCTATTGTTGGCGGATATTTGCATTAGATTCTATTATTATTATTATTATTATTATTATTATTATTATGCACAAGAGCACCAACCTGTTGATGAGATGATTGTGTTGGTTGCTGTAGTATTATAGCGCCACCACTGTTACCACTTGACCCAGAAGGAAACAACTGATGGTGTTGTTGATGTGATTGCTGGTGCTGTGGTATATTTTGCTGTGAAGATGGACCCTTGAAAACAAAGATATGAAGGAAAACCGTTAATTGTCAAACACAAGTGTCAAACACATGAGCCTGCATTATTCTTTTGAATACATTCAAAATGTCAACATCCTAAGCTATCCACTCCAGTGATTGGCTGTAAATCAACACATGATTTAATTTGCAATCACATGACTATTCAAAAACCATTCTAACCAGAGCCTTGCAGGTGCCAATGTTCCTATGCATGATACCAACCATATTTTCGATTTTTTTTCAAGTTAAGTTTTATACTTATGTTTTAATTGTATGTACTGAGGGTCCCAATTGATCAGTTCAGGCTGGACGGACCACTCTCACAAAATATTGTTGAAATAAATAAATAAATGAGATAATCAGAAAATTGGGTTGGCTCAAATTTGTGTGGCGGTTGAAAAATTCAGGGGGAGTCTTTATGGCCCAAAATAGTGATTTTAGACCACATTGGTAATGTAATTTGATAGGCAAATTACAGTAATATTTTTAGCAAATTTCTTCGAAAAAGTTTCGTAGGCTTAGGGCCTAGCTAGGTATACAGTATTTTCATTTTACAGTAGTTTGGAACGATATCGCACTTAAAATGTACAATATTCATTTCACTACCCGACAAACCCCGAACTTTATTCATGCATTACATGAATAGTTTCTTCTTCTGTACTCCAACATCACTGGCGCATGGTAACAACCAACTGGCAGACCATTTCCGGTCACACATTACTCTCCATAACGCAGCACCCCCTAGTTCCGTGTCCTCTGGGTATAAAGTATTTTCATTTTACAGTAGTTTGGAACGATATCGGGAGTGGGGGAGCTGGCAGTGGCCTACTAGACTACAATTTATTTGAAAATAGCTTGGGCCGGATCGTCCACACCAGTTGGGCCCAAATCGTCTGTCACCCGAGGTTTTCATCACGATGATCAAGAACGTACACGATCTAGGCCCTAGGCTAGGCCTAACCTTGCTGCCGTCACTCTGCTACGTATACTACCGCATAACAAAGAAACCGACCCACGCGGTACATTATTTACACACATTATATATGTATTAGACGATAACACGATATCATTGATTAAACGATCTACCACCCTCGCATCGCAGTAACTACTATGCCTTATGTTTTTGTGAAAAGCCTAAGCTAGATAGTTGTTATGTACCCGACAGTCGGCTGCCTTTATATCTTCACTTGTCTTCAGTTTGCATTCAAAGGGTACACTGCAGCATAGCCAACTGTCGGGGATACCTTCATATGACTACTCATACAGCAGAAAAAAACGTTGCATGGAGGTAGCGAAAAATGGAGATCTAAATGAAAAAACGATGTATTTCAGCAAGTATTAAAATCGTTTTCTTTATTTTAGGCCTTCTTCAAAATGCCTATCCCTACAACAGTTGATGATTTTTTTTTTGCTGCAAAACCAAAATAGTTTCATCCCTGCTGACTTGCTGATCGGTTAGCGCGAGCTTTGAACTTCACATCGAACTTCGCATCACGAGGTAAAACAAAATGTCTTACATGCATAGGAACTAATAATACAGGGAGGCATTAAAAGCTATAAACTAAAAGAACACAAAATGATGAAGCATGCAAATACTTATGCAGTCATCAACATTCAATTAGGTGTTCAATTAACCAGTTTAGCATGATGCATCAATGTAAGTACAGATTAATGGCAAAGCATTAAGGTCTGAAATATTATTCAATATTGGATGTTCAACTCTAGAGTTGTAAAAGGTTTGGATATGAATATAATTATGGTGCATGTCAAACAACCATAGGAACATTCAGGATGTTCCTATTTTTCGCAGCATTGTAAAATAAGCTAAAATAATATCCATATAACTTCTCAACATCATCACCTACTATCACTTACATTTATACCTAGACTTGCGACAAGTCCCTTATTTTTGTTCTCATTGTGGACAGCACCACCAATGAGTATGTTAATTTAAAGACTGAATAAAAAAATCTGAAAAAAAAAACGGAAGTCGAGTATGGGATGCCAATTGAATTTGGTATGGCGTGCACTAAGTGCAATAAAGAAAGTAATACAAAATGAGGGTCTGGAACTAAGGCTAATTCATACCTGGCTTTGACTACTAACAGGTGATGACAGCATATCTCGATCCGAGTCATTAAGGAAATTTGGTGAGTTTTCCGAGCGTAGTAGGTTGTCGCTCGCCATCTTGCCTTTTAAGCATGTGATGTACCGATGACAGAAGTCCTTGCACAGTTCGTTGACTTTTTCTAACTCTAGTAAATGGATTCTTAGAACTTGTATTGCTTTTACCATCTGAAGAAAGGACATGGATCATTAAAAATAATAATAACAATGGCAACGCTATCTCAAAACTGGGGCGTGCACCTTCCTCCTCTTCTTCACATCTCTTCATAAATTATATTTTAGTTTCTTTAGTGGCTAAAAAGCACCTTAAGATGGCATTTACTGTGGAAGATACTATAAAAATACAAGACCATTGACAATATATCTATATGACAACAATAATGTGGAAATATATAAAGAACAAGTTAGTTCTATGTGCTACACTACTCGAATACATAAAGAAAATCATATCACCATATTTTAATGAAAAGTATGGATTAGTAGTATAGAACAGCATCAGATGGAGTAAATATTTCAAAACATAATTTTTATAATTTTTTGGCTTAACAACATGAATGAAATTTGACATAATTTGTATTGAATGAGTAAAAAGCTCTCATTCAGTTTTCTGTCTGAAAACAACTTATTTACACTGACATTACGACAGTGATGTTGCGTATTTGCAAACCAAATCACTAGCTGTCTATTTATCCCTAATCAAATAATACCTCGTACGAAAGAAATGTTGTAATGTAGAATATGATCAGCGCTGATTGTTAATGAATAAAATACTATATGATACATGCACTCCATAGGGAGTAAAGCTTTAATGTGTATGAGTAATAGGTAATAATGTGCACTCAGAGACTGGATATCACTCGAGTAGAACGTTACACTATATTCAATATGGAATTACATTTCTGAATAAACTGTAGAAAACATATACATGAATAATGTACCAACAATAAAACATAGTGAAATTTACAATATAACAACAGGGAGTTTAGGCCTGAACAATTACAATTAATATTTTGACCTTAATGCCCACCAAAAAAGTTAAAAAAAATAAAAAAAACCAATGAGAAAACGGTGTCAGAATACTGCAGCCAATGAGGTATCAAAACAGTGTTGGTGACAAATAATTTATAAATTATCAACTGATAAACAAAGGACGTAATTAAAGAAAACAACTGATGATAGTTATTGTTTATGTTAATATCAAATAAATAAGCAAGTTTATATGCATGCCTTTAAGCATGCATCTTACCAGGTTGTCTACTTCGGAATCATCACTGAAGAATGCTCTGCCTGCCTGCTCCTGCCGATGTACAAACTCTTCAATATCCACATCAAAGCTGGCTGATGTTGGTGGGTCTGGACTCTGTGTTGCTTGCTCACACTTCTCAAAAAGTAGAGACATCAAAGGGAACAATGGATGCCTGAAAATAAAAAATAACACTATAAATTCAATAAAAGTAAGATTTTAACTAGGAAATAAGAAATAGTTGTGACGGTCCATGAATTTTACTATGTATGACCATTTCCTTTCTGTCTCATATAGAGTACTACAGTGTTACGTCACGATACCATGTGATACTACTCTGTTGCTATCGTTGCAAAATGCGTTCAACCGGACACAATTTTCACCACTGACAAACCATTGATCCCAATTTCTAAAGTAATTATTAAGATGTTGTATCTTAGTTTTTCTTTGTAAATTTTAATTGATGATTTAATGTGTGTTAGATAACTAATATAATGCGAGCGCTTCTGTGTTTTTAGCACATTTTGCTTAGCATTTGGTTGAAAGCTTCAAAGAAGCTTCCTTTGTTTTTGTAGGTAAGTTTGATCAGTAGGGTAAGGATACTTTGATCCTTAGTTTATTCATAGCTATGTCACCTACTAGGGGTAATCTTTTGATTGGTCAAACACTTTTGGTACTTATGCATATAAGCTTGCAAATATGGATAATTTTTCATTCCTGATGATGACATAATTAATGCCGAAATATTGAATCCCGACACGATGGCGTGCATTTCAATACTTGGCGTATGTATTATACTATCTTATCTGAGATTAATCAGTAAACCTTTCGGTTTTTGATGGTAAAATATTATATTTTAAAATGCCTATTCCAGAGAGCCTATGAAGTTATTCAGGCGTAATGAACGGTAACCAACGTCTGGTTGGCTACAGAGGGTGACACGACCGTGGTACTCTGCAGTAAATACAGTAATTTTTAATAAAAATAGCTGATATTTGTTTGCTTTGACTGTTTCTTTTCATTCGACTTTAAAATAAACTAAGTAATAAACTTCTGTTTATCATTTTATTCAATAACTGAATACACATCAAAATCAATATTTTCCTGAGAATTGGGAGAAACATAATAAAATACATGTTCATGTTAAAATTGTTTCAGATGAGGCAAACAAAATGTACAGTAAAGAATTTTATGTACAGGAGACTCCCTGTGAATTATGGTGCAATAATTATTATGGGCTAATAATTGTGGCTCGCCCAAGTTGAGGCCATTGGTTATTAACACCGAAAAATAGTTTTTATAGTATCAGTAATCAAATATCTAATTCAAATTTATGATATAAAATATAAAAACTTTTTTTTTCTTGTTGAAAATTATGACCTGAATGATGTCATCCCAATCGATGTGAACATACAATAAGACAAAATTAGCTGAAACTCATTCAGACGCTTGAATGACTCTTCGGAGAGGAACTAACAATGTGATGTGGAACAACAGATGTTATACCTCAAAAGATTTTAAGAACAATGTGCAAAAATTAATGCATTATCAAGTTTTTGATTACTAAACAACAGTCTGCCAGATGTTGTCACAGACTTAGAAAAGGTGACAAATTATCAAACTCTTTTTAATCATTAGTAGGTTAATGATCACAACGTTTGGCATCTTGAATTTATGTGGATTTGATTTCTCCATGTGCATTTTTTTTCTCAGCTTTAGCTACTGTTTGCTTACTTACTGCTGGTATAGGCTTACAGAGGACATAACATTTTTCTATTTGTGCAAGCACTATACTGCACACTTAATTAAGAAACAAGATTTTTACTTACATGTAGGAGTGGACATGTTTATTTTATGAGAAAATTCCTGGCATTTTTATTTAAAACTGACAGCCTAGGGTCCCGCCCAGAGTAGGCACCATGTTGCAACTACATTCCTCTCCTAGTTCTCATTATGATGATCACTAGGCCAACATAAACAAACTTTATTATGCACTTTAGTCTTTTTCTTAATAATGTAGAGTGTTTTTGCACCAATAGTTTATATGCTGGAAGCGCTGACAAGCTCAGTGACAAGCTCAAGGGGTTATGCTTGTTAACTTTTCATGAAAGAATGAATCAAGGACTGTTGATATAAATGTGTCAGTGAACCTGTGAAGGAGCAGAGTACAATTGTAGTCTAATGCAAATATTCAATATCATTAACATAATTCTTGCCCTCCTTCTGCAACTAACTACTTCCAGTAGGCCTGACACAGGACATCACTTCAGGAGAGTGGTTGCACACTTTTTTTTTATAAGAACATTGAGGCTGAAATTGCTTTAAAATTAAGAACAAAATAAGGACAAATTGAGGCTGAAGTAAAATTTCAAAGGTGGTTTTAATTTCTAAAAAATAGAAAAACCAAACTTATGTGTACCTTACTTGCAGTAGGTGTGACTATGTAATTAAAATCATCGGTAATACAAAATACTGTAAGAATATTTTGAGTCTGAAATCTTACTGGTTGTAAAAAGTGTAATACACCACACACACACACACCACACACCTTATACCAAGTGATAGAAAAATGCTTTAATTCTTACCTTTTAACAGATCTTTTATCATTCTCCATCTGTGTATCAACGATGATACCAACTGCAGGAGCAGACGATGCCTGACTGGTGGCTTGCTGTGGCGCAGCAGCCTGTTGCGCTGGTACTTCACCATCAACAGGTTGCTGCACGAGTGCTGTTGCGAACATGTCTGGTGACTGAGTCGTGTGTGTCATCTGTAAGAACAAACACATACAGAACTATTTACATTTACAAGAGTCAAATTTACATTTGTGCAGATACAGTGTAATTTCAGGACTGCAATTATTCATAAATTATGCAGGATATTATGTTTATCATGTATTGAGATTGAGGGGCCAGTAATTCAATACAATATTCATTATTGATAGACATCAAAATACAAAGTCATTTGCATTAACTATTTTTTTCTTAATACTCTGCCACGTTTTCGAAAAAAACAAAAAAGTAGATTTTAATTGTAGACATTTAGCTACAGAAGAAAATAAGATTCTTCAAATGACGGCTTTACTATGTTTTGAAAATTTCAAAAATGTTAGGAAGTTCTAGCACGTCCATTTGATTGAAAGTGACAACATAAATTACATGTTAAAAGGGAGAGGATACAAGAAGCAGAACCATAATACTTAGACGGGATTATTTCGGATCATGATAAGAAATAAGGCAAACCAGCTGAATGACAAGGGGTCAATTCGGTAGTTCTCAGCAATTAAACATTAATTGCTTTATTATTATTAATAATAATCTTTTTCATAAATTTCACAGTACATTGATACAATGATAGAGTATGCAGAGAGAGGGTTAACAGTGTATTTTTAATTAAATAAAATAGACATAATGATCAATCAATCAACTAGGTTTTGTAAAGTAATATCCAAGGCAGAATGCAATGATATCAAAAGTGACATCAGTCATTATTGTGTACTCCTTCAGAGGTTAAAGGTCAATGGAAGCAAATGACTTGTACTTTTGAGCTAACTCTGCATGAGTGGGTCAGCCTGCATCTGTCACCAGTGGCGATTCCAGGAATTTCGAAAGGGGGGTCTAGGGAGAGACTTCCACAGATGACAACCCCAGCCCCACAATGGTTGGGGCTGAGGCAAGAAAATTATGATTATGGTATCTCCAGATGGCGGAAATGAATAAATTAGATTACTTTTTTCCATTTTACTCCATTTCCTCTCCCTATCCCATGAATCCGACAATGGTAAAAAAATTTCATTCAATTTTCTAAGCCTGCTGTCAAATCGATTTTACATATTACTTAGTTACAGATAATAGTTTGTCAAGTAATTATTGCATCTGATAATTTTGTCTGATTGAATTACTGAAATAGTGATGATGCTGGTTGGAATGGCATACTCAAATTTTTTATTATCACTTCTGAGTTTCAAATTTCAGTACTAAATTTGCCTTCTGGTGTCTGTTCAAGTATGGAATGGAAGCAAAATGATGCTTTCAGTGTAATGAGTAATGACATGAATGCTGTGAGTATGTCATGTTGTACACAAAGCCTTGAAACAACAACTTATAAATTCCACAGAAAAGGTGTGGTCATTATAATGGCAAATGAAATCTCGCAGTTCCAAAATAATAGAATAAATTATGTTTATCTTAAAACAGTTTACTTAAAACTACTGTACATGCCAACAGTATCAGTTGTTCCGATCATGTAAATATATATTATTTTTGTTTAGCAAAGGAAACACTATATAAATTTAGTTTTTAAGATAAGTTTACTTAAAATTACAGTTCCGTTGCCTATGGGTACATAATTCATCCATGTGCGCACCATACTCCAATTGCAGACTGTGGTTTACGTCCTACTGTAACAGGTACAGTTGGATTTCCAATTACTTTGTTACTTGACCAATGGGGGTCACAGAGGTCACACTGAGAACTAAAAGTTTTCTTTTGGGGAGTCTTCTCCATATCCTGTAACTGTTTTAAAGCATAATGATGTAATTTAACCATTGAGGTACAGTATATCTAAATGCCAACATTCATTCATGCTTGAAAAGATACAATTACTGTCCTTTCAAACAATTTTTACATAGTTTTAAAAAGTGCTAGCTACCTCATTATTGACTTTATAAGGAAAAGGATGGTATTATCTGAATAATATCTAGAAAACATGGGATGAGGCTAACTCCCAATGTGAGCATTGTGTAACACTGTAATTACAATATTGCATGGTGGTCACTGCACACAGATGAATACCGTATGCGCATGAAAGATGAAGTTTAACAGAAGTTCTTTGATCAGGTTGAGGATCAGGTGGAGAGAGTCCCTTGGTGCTGATTTGACAATACAAGCACAGACTGCAAACTTTCAACACTATCCCTGCCACTCAACCTGTTACCATGAGGATGGGTGATGATTGACAACTTGGTTCTTATCTATTATTTGTATTTGGTAAAATGAGAGCTAGTTGTCAACATATTATTGCCTTTGTATGCTCTTATGCATGGGGAGATAGACTGAATTTCCTTATTCCTGCTGCCCCAACAAATTAAACTACAGTATACTACGGGACTTCACATCATTTTACCTTTTTAAATTGTCTACAGCCAAGATCATATTTAGCGAAGTACTGGGAGTTGAAAAAGTTCCTCAATGTTAAATACTAATACTAATATATACAACGAAACTAACAAAATGCCAACCAGTGTAATAATACACAAAATTCTGAGGGCTAGCATCATGGTTTCCAACTTCTTCAGATCATCAACTTCATATCAAGTTCATCAAGGACTGACTGATAACATACAACGGTAATAACAATAGTAATAAGGGGAAAAAAAACCACCATATTGGTGTTTTTCACAAGGCTGTTTTTGCAAAATGATACAAAGAAAATGAAGAAACTTAAATATCAAAAATATTTGTTGGTCATTCAATTAAAACAATGAAGTTGCTTTTACTTACTATTACCATAAAAGAAAAAAAGAAACAAAGAAATTAACCAATACATTTGTTATATAAATTGTATACTCTAAGGAAATCCAATGGGATTCAGAGTCAGTGAAATGGTGGGTTTAAGCAAGTGTGACCAAGCTGTGATAAAAACAATATAGTTAATCATTTTCACCACTTGTTAACTCAGTTGGTAGAGACTCCAAACAGAATTGGAGGGTCTTGGGTTCATCAGTGGTAATAATGCCGTAGATTTAAAAAAAAGAAACACAAAACAAGAGGGAGCTTTTGATTTGCGCGAAGACGAGAGACGCTAGAACGGAATCACTCATGCATGACCGCTAGCACGGAATCACTCATGCATGACCATCCTACATTCTCGGCATACGCAGATTTAACCAAACTGCGTCTCAGAATCCATGAGAATCCAAGATGAAAACACAACGTTCTCGCATACACAGATGAATTTTAGTGACGTCATATACGTTTTACGCCCTACAGTCGTCGTGCAATTGAAAGCTCTCTAATAATAGCACATCACGTACAGTACTACACAGAACTATTTCTCCCTACCAAAGGTTTACATGAATTACTGTTTTTTTTAAATGTAATTTTTAAAATGTAATCTGTAATGTAGTACTTTTTGTGGGAAAAAAAACCTGCATTTATCTCATTTATAAAAAAAATTAGTGAACTTTATCATATACACAATTAAAAAAGAAATGAATGAGAATATAAGACTCGTATATATATTAATATTTCTCTGAATAATACATTACAAAGACGCACACATTGATATGCATGTCTCGTGGAACTGGTACCACTGCCCTTCTGGAAATGCATCCGCGAGCATCATTAAGTAAATGACTACTGTAGTAATTACTAGATCAAAATGTTAAGTGTATTATATACGTAACTTTTAATTGTGAAAAAATGATAATTACCAGACCTTTAAACATTTTTGCATACAGTACTGTACTTTACCCTTGGCTAGTATGATTAATTTAATGATTTTTGTACAAACAGGTCTGTAAACCTAATTGTTGTGTCCGACTTATTATTTATGGTGGTGTCTTTAAGCTGAATTTAATAAATCAGTGATTTACTGCAAAATTGTTGTATTGATGGTACTGTATATACTCTACTGGACGTACTGTTCTTCAAAATGTACTGTTAAAAATAACTTGGATGTTGAGAGCTGTATGTTACTGTAGTTACATTTACCATTGAAAATAATAGATCTGAGCAGAATTGCTAACATTTACAACTGTGAAAAACATTTATGGCGATGAAGTTGTAGTAAAAAAATACTTTACTACTTTTTTATATGTCTGACTACGTTCTATTAATGTTATCAAAAGTGAATGAATTTAAACAGAAATCAATTTAAACAAACATAGCTACCAGCTACAGGAAACTACCTGACCTTCATAAATAATATTGTATGCATAACCACACTGACCACATGATAGACAGTGCAGATACTGGACATGAATATTTATAAATTGCTGTAAAAAAGAAAGTTTACATTACACCACAGTAGCATGGAGCAATAAAATTAATAAGTGTACATAAAAGAAGCCAATGTATCATACTGTAAATTGGCACCCCTGTAAAAGAAATGATACAGAATACATTGCTGTAATTACAGGCTGTGCTTATACTGGTACAGTACTTTGATTTCAATAATATCCACTATGATACTGTACTTGTACAACATCTGTCAACTGCATTGCTCTGATTTGACAGTCTGTCAAATTCTTCTTTCACATTTTAGGGTCCACTTAGAAATCAAGTAATACTCTCATTATTGCATTCAGCAGCACTGACTAAATAATTTTGCAACACAGATTCAAGACAGCCAATGAGTGATCTGCTATATTTCAAACCTCAAGTTCATCGTAGCTACAGTACTAATCAACCCAAAACTTTTACAATATTGAAATCCATTTTCAGAAACCAAAAATGCAAGTAACCTCTAAACATGTGTTGGGTTTGCTTCGATATTATAAGTGCCACTTAGAATAAGAGTTCTATAATTGAGAGAGCAAGATTTTGGAGTTAATTTACACTCACTGTTGAAGTGACTGGTAATAATTAATGAATTTACAATAAAATACAAATTAAAGAAAATAAGCATTGTCCAATATTCAACTGTATTGTACAGTATTTAATCATTATGGTTTCTTCTTTTGGTTGAATTTTTTAACAGTAATTATCAAATAATTAAATACCTACCTCCTTGTAAGATTTGGCTATGAAAAACAGTACAGTAGACCGT